TCTGGGTACTTATTTTCAGAGACAAGTGCCTGTGGCCTAGAATGTGTTTACAGAATTTTATATTACTTCTCCGAATGTCATTATGGTCAACGGGATAAGTAAGAAAAAAGAAAAAATTGTCAATATTCTTCCGTCTTATGTTCTATTTATAACTGCGACGGTCATGTTATTTGTTAGTCTGTGGCATTACTGAATAAAACTTCATCATAAACACGTATAAGTTAACTCAGATCTTGTTAGTTTCTTTTTGGTCCAGTTATTTGAATTGGTCAGAAGTTACGGCGGATGATAGATGGAGATTTACATATTTGCAATAACTGACACTGGTTTGTCGAGAAGACTGTGACAAATAAATGTTCTGTCGATTTAATCATATCAAAGAACTCGTCCGGTCTGTGTTTATGTTTGATGTTTTTTCTGCTTTGTATCGATCTGACGAGTTAAGTATATACGCTTCCATAGTTAAGCCTTTTTGAACTGATTTTTTTTAGTTTGTTCTTATGTTGTGCTGTTACACCACTGTCCCATGTTAGGAGAGGGTTGAGCGCTCACAAACATGTTTAACCCCGCCACATTCTTTATGTGCCTGTCCCAAGTCAGGAGCTTGTATTTCAGTGGTTGTCGTTGGTTCATGTCTGTCATATTTGTTTTTCGTTAATTGTTTTGTTATAAATTAGGCCGTTAGTTTTCTCAATTGAATTGTTTCATATTTTTATGTGGGGGCCTTTTATAGCCGACTATACGGTATGGGTTTTTCTCATTTTTGAAGGCCGTACGGTTGCCTATAATTGCTTACATCTACTTTATTTGAACTTTGGTGGATAGTTCCCTCATTGAAAATCATACCTCATCTGCTTATTTTTATATTTTATCGGGTTTTCAGTGTCGTAGCTTTCATTAAGACAGTGAGGCAACTGCCACACCAACTTTATGACCAAGAATAAAATAGAGAAGGACTAAAGAGAGACAAAAGGTATTCCAAACATTTGAATTCTCTACCAGTTACACATGTATTCCTCATTGATTTAAATATACCGGGAATAGTGTAAAAGTATTAATCCCCACTTTTTTTCATAAAATTGACCAATGTAGAAGATACACATGTCTTTAATGGAACGGACAAATTATTCTTTGTAAAAAAAACTAATCCAAACAAGAGGTAAGAACTGAGAAACTAGATTATGAATATCTAGTTATTTTTTTTATCCTACATAAAAATGACCCCGCGTAATGATAGGGGTATATTAATTTGGTCACCTAGACCTCTCGTCCTATCAGTTATCCAGTGGCAGTCCAAATCGTCCGCCCTTCATTCCAATCGACCAATTTAGCAACCTTAAGTACTTCGTTTATTTATTTTTTCTAATTCTGAATAAACCCCAAGGGTTGACAGGGCTAAAAAAAACTTCTACAGAACATATCTATTGGATCATTGTTGATTTGTTCTCGAATTTGTTCTGTGCAAAAATTATTTGACTGGGCGTTAAGATAACACCCATAAATCAATCAATCTGTACATGCTGAAAAGTCTTTTGACGCCAGTTTTGCTCTTTAGCCATCCGTCCAAGCGTTTTTAACCGTGCTGAGGTCTTCAATCGTGAAAGCTGTCCTCAAACCGTTTGCCTCATTTGTGAAGCAGGATCTGCTTACCCTTCCGGAGCACCTGAGATCATCCCCGATTTTCGGGTGGGGTTCATGTTGCTCAGTATTTAATTTTCTATGCTGTGTTTTGTATGCTGTTGTTTGTCTTTTGATTTTTAAAATTCTTTTTTGCCATGGCGTTGTCATTTTATTTTCGATTTATGAGTTTAAATGTCGCTTTGGTATCTTTCGCCTCTCTTTTGAAATAAGTTTCAAGCTATGCCACTGATTTCTCGAATCATATAACTGATATTCTTACAAATATGTTTAATCCCGCTACATTCTTTATGTGCCTGTCCTAAGTCAGGAGCCTTTAGTACAGTGGTTGTCGTTGGTTCATGTCTTTAATATTTGTTTTTCGTAAATTGTTTTAATTGTTATAAATTAAACCGTTAGTTTCTCGTTTGAATTGTTTCACATTTTACGTGTAAAAGCCTTTTATAACCGACTATACGGTATGAGATTCCCTCATTGTTGAGGGCCGTACGATGGCCTATAATTGCTAACTACCACTTCATTTTAACTCTGGTGGATAGTTGTCTCATTGGAAATCATACCACATCTCCTCATCTTTATATTCGCAGTTTTTCAGAAAATCATATATCACGGCTTTGTGTTGTCGAAAACTAAGGTTTTAAACCGACAATATGACTTGTACTTTGACCTCTAATTGTCTTTTGGTTATTATTGTCGTTTTATTTCTGTCCGAGACTGTTTGGCGTGTACTGGCCCCACATCTCCTTTTATTCATACAAGTAACAACACAACTGAAGTACATCATGTTGTAATTGAAAACAATCGCCTTACATTTTAAAATCAATAACAATTTATAAGGATCTATTACTAATAGCAAATATTTTCTCTCACCTTCTACAGATAAAGATAGTAAAAGATATTAAGACGAAGACTAATGGTGGTATTCTCATATGCCAATGAGACACTATCGAAGGACACACACACAAAACATAAAGCGGTCAACATACTGTCTCAGCAATAGACAGGGGACTATGCAATATCAAGCTCTATATCGTAACAAACTTGGTAAAAATAATTAATAATCTGCTAAATATGAAATCATGCACTCCAACACTGTAATATCGGGTGGCTGTACCTCTGGGTAGATTTCACACAGCAACGCAAAAGTCTATACAGTACAGGAAGACACAATCTTTAAAAATGTATAGAATTTCGATGCAGAAAGAATAAACGAAAAAATCTAGTCTTTTTCAGCTTATATATCAACAACAACTGTTTGATAATATCCTTTATCAATAATTTCATATTAAGACAAAAAGAAATATTTTCCGTTAATAGTTTACCTAAAGTAAAACCAACAAAAACAACGATATGATCAATTTATTGAGTGTTCATGATTAAATGCTTGACGGGAAATAAAGACAAGCATGATGGATCTAAGGGGTGAATTAGTCTGACGAGACATGTTCAATAGCAAACAACAAACAAGATTTATTACAGTATACTTTCTAACACAAATCAGTGAAATAAAGGCAACATATACAGAGGTGAAATGAATCTAGTGATTCAGTCGGGGAAAAGCTTAATAGAAAGATTGATTGATTGTGTAATACTGACATCAGCTATGTTCAAAATAAAGACGGCACACAAACACTTCGGCTTTATTATCTAATAATTACATTACATGTATGCTTCATTATATATGATACATTATTTTGAGTGGCTAATAGCAATCTCGCGTCATTCTGAAATTAACCTTCATTTCAAAATGAAATGTAACATTCATGATGTCATGAGCTTCCACAATAAAGTGCACAGCTGAATAAAAGAAAAACTTTATAGGAATCGTGTTTTCATGATCCTAGCAAAAAAATGTAATTATAAGTATTGAATGCTTCGTTTGGTTATTTTATAGGGTTGTAAAAGCGTTGACCGTGCTCACATTTTTAGAATGAAGCGCGAAAATGTACTTTGGTCAACGCTTTTACACCCCAACAAATTTACATAAGAAGCATTCAATTCTTAAATAAATGTATTAAGCCGTGTAAATCAGAAAAAGGTTTGGCTAAATAGTATCCCAAACAGGCATACGTAATAAAATATATTAAGCAATAAAAACATCTAGGAGAAGTTTTTACAAAGTATGAATAAATCTATTAACCCAAAAACCGAAGAAGACAGACGCAATATTTCAATATATAGGGATATATGTGTACAAATAAGTCAAAAGCTGTTTGGCTTGAAATAAAGACACTGACAATATTATTTCAATAGGGACATTTTTGAAACTATCGAAGCCCTGTACATTTACTGAAAATCGTCCTAAATCGAACTTTCTCTGGTGTATTATGAATTACAACCGACAAAAGTGCCCTGTTGATGTCGTTTTGGTATATTTCAGGGGTTGAACATCAATTCGCTTATTTATAGTTTATAAAGCAATACTATATTATTAAACATTTCTTTCTTTTTATCTGCAACGAAATTCTGCACAGATTTTTTTTTGGGGGGGGGGGGGGGGGGGGGGCGTGCACAACATGATGTTTTCCTGTATTGTTATTACACTGGTTTATGAATTCTACTCCGAATTGAATACGGCCACCAATAGTAGAGCGAGTATGGCAGAGGCGGATAAAAGGGGGGCAGGGGGCCCGGCCCCCCTTATGGAGCTATATGTATGATCATCAGACTTTTTACCTATACCACCCCAAATTTTGTCTAGTTCGGGGGCCCGCGGCCCCCTTTTCAGAATCCTGGATCTGCATCTGAATGGCATGACTGTGTAACTAAAGGTTAAGTTCTTCGAATGTGTTTTCAGTAACTGAGGGTTCAACCGTTGGCATATAAAAAAACTAGTTTAAACCTGCCACATTTTCATTCGTGCTCCTAATTCGAGAACTTCGTCAGTGGTTGTCTTTTTGATATGTTGGCCTTTTTAGTTTGGGCCATTTGTGGACTGAATTTGGTGTTGGTGCTTATCTTTTTGTACCTTCTGTTAAAAAAGGGAAACCGCGTTATCAAGTTTGCCCCGGTATTTTATTATAACTTTATAAAGACAACACTGACTGGTTGCAGTGATATGCAATAGACAATGTTTATATGAACAAACACGTTTACAGTAAATGATTAAGACATGATTAAGTACAGATAATTTTACAGTAAAAAAACTTGAGAGTGACAGTGGACTTTCCGTTTTGAATTTTCCTTAGAGTTCGGTATTTTTGTTATTTTATTTATTTAAAATGTATATAGTAATAAATGACTTGAACCTTTATTATGGGAAAGCAATTTTATTGAATGACAAAGGTGTTGTTAATGAGTAACCTCATAATAAAGAGGTGTGCTTGATTACACATCAGAATGAACACTTTACCATTTTACCAGATTGACCTCCTGACCTCATTTAATGGAAGACGAACAAAATGGTAGGTTTCACAACAAACAAAACTTCACAGATATTCGTTTTCTTACAGATAATTTCACAAGAACGTTTCTTTTACAGCATAAATTAAAGAGTTCACAAAAGGAAAAGGTTCGACAGTTCATCGCCTTCACACAAACAACTGAGAAAGGAGCTATTGCCTGCCTAGGTTCTCATGACTGGAAGCTTGATCTTGCTGTAGATAATTATTTCCAAGCGCCAGAACGGTACAACAGCGAACCCAGTCGTTCAGCTGTGGATAGGAAAAAACTTGAAGCATTATGGCAGAGATACAGAGGTATACAGTGACTTAGATTTTAGTATCTTAAATTCTCTTACAATCACTGTGTGATAAACCTTTAAAAAATGTAGTACAATTGGAGGTACATATGTGTATATTACTATATAGCAAGTCTAACTTTGTTGAGTTAAGGAAGATCTTTTTTAACTCGGTCTGTTCGAGCCCTTCCTTTCAATCTTGAGGTTGCTGTTTTGAATACCGATGGTAATATCCATGTAATATTGATCACAATGGTGCTGCAAGCAACTACTTCTGGCACAGACAAGGGCGTGTATTTGTCTATTAGGGGAGTCATGTTGATACAGTATAATCATGAGGTATGACTGGTATATTTGGAATGGCCTCAACATGCCTTTTTGACATTAAAGGTACAATCCAGATGGTTTCTCATGGTGACTATAGGGTTACCCAATAGAGAACCTATGAGCTGCTAGGATGGATAGTAAGTAGCAGCTAAGTGAAAAAAGGGGAAGAGTATAGTATAATTGGAAGTTTTTAAGGAGTCTAACTCTGTTGAGTTAGGGAAGATCTTCTTTAGCTAGTTAGAGCTTTACCATTAGATCTCTGATTGCTTTAAAATCCCTTTGGTACCGTACATGTACATGTACCTCAACACATTAACTTTAGTCTTAGTCTAGACTGAGCTCTCTGGTTTCAGATATTTTTATACGACCGCAAAATTTTGTGCGGTCGTATATTGGTATGACGTTGGCGTCGCTGTCCGAAGACACATTGGTTTTTGCACAATAACTTTAGTTTAAGTGAATGGATCTCTATGAAATTTTACCATAAGGTTCAATACCACAAAAGGAAGGTTGGGATTGATTTTGGGGGTTATGGTACCAATGCAACAGTTAAGGAATTAGGGGCCAAAAATAAGCATTTTTGTAACTTCCAGACAATAACTTGTGTTAGTGTATGGATCTCTCTGACATTGTACCACAAGATTCCATATCACAAAGGGAATGCTGGGATTGATTTTGGGGGTTATTGCCTCAAAATTTTAGGAATTAGGGGCCAAAAAAAGGGGTAAAAACAAGCATTTTTCTAGTTTCATGACAATAACTTGTGTGTAAGTGTATGGATCTTTCTGAAATTCTACTACAAGGTTCCATATTACAAAGGGAAAGCTGGGATTGAGTTTTGGGGTAGTTGCCCAAAACGTTTAGGAATAAGGGGCCAAAAAGGGGCAAAAAATAAGCATTTTTCTAGTTTCCAGACAATAACTTGTGTTCAAGTGTATGGATCTCTCTGAAATTGTACTGCAAGGTACCATACCACAAAGGGAAGGCTGGGATTGATTTTGGGGGTAATTTCCTCAAAATGTTAGGAATTAGGGGCCAAAAATGGGCAAAAAACAAGCCTTTTTCTAGTTTCAGGACAATAACTTGTGTGTAAGTGTATGGATCTTTATGAAATTGTACTACAAGGTTCCATATCACAAAGGGAAAGCTGGGTTTGAGTTTGGGGGTAATTGCCCCTTAAATGTTTAGGAATTTGGGGCCAAAAAGGGGCCAAAAAACAAGCATTTTTGTAACTTCCAGACAATAACTTGTGTTCAAGTGTATGGATCTCTCTGAAATTGTACTGCAAGGTATCATACCTCAAAGGGGAGGCTGGGATTGAGTTTGGGGGTGATGAATCATAAGGGGGTTCACAAAATTTGGAGGGGGATTTTTTTTTCCTTTTTTTTTTTTCCTTTTTTTCCTTTTTTTTTCTTCAAAATTTTCCATTTTAAGTTGGTTATTTCTGATTTATATATAAAAGCAAATAATAATGATATGGTTTGAATAGGTAAATTAAAATTTTTTAAGTTCTTAGACCACATTCATTCTGTGTCAGAAACCTATGCTGTGTCAAATATTTAATCACAATCCAAATTCAGAGCTGTATCAAGCTTGAATGTTGTGTCCATACTTGCCCCAACTGTTCAGGGTTCAACCTCTGCGGTCGTATCAAGCTGCGCCCAGCAGAGCATTTTATTTCAACTGAAACCACCAAATTTAGTCTTTCATTATGTGTTTTTGCTTTTGATGATTATCTTGGTCACATTTTTCATCCTGAATTTAAATATAATGCACAGGAAAAGGACAAAAACAATGTTTTGTCATGGATTATAATTAAAATGAACCACCTGTTGATTGTTTGTGGATATCCAAACAAAGAATAGGTAAGATATAAGCATTAAAAATAAATATTTAATTATAATAAAGATATCCTATCATTAGTATGGGTTATTTCTCACATCTTTTTTACTTCATTTACCATTTTTACGGTAAATTCCATTTTGGAGTTCAAAGCTGTTATTCTAATTTGGCTGCACACCAAATCTCTTTTTTTTTATTACTTACTACTACCTAAATCTGTTCAACAAATTTGAAATCTCTTTTGAAAAAAAATAGTAACATTTCATAATAGAATTAAGACAAACAGGGAACATGCTTGCGAAACAGTGAAAATTAATTAAAGTACATTTACAGTATTTTAGTATGCTGACTTTCTGACCTTTCAGACCCTCATGAAGATGATAAAATGACAGCCGATGGTGTAATGAAATTTTTAGAGGATTTAAGTCTCAACCCAGAATCTAGGACAGTATTACTGTTAGCATGGAGGTTTAAAGCAGCAACACAGTGTGAATTTACAAAGGATGAATTTATATCAGGAATGGCAGATTTAAGGTACATTTTATTAATAATTATAAATAATGAAAACTGAAAAAAAGGGGAAAGAGTTTTATTTGATAGACCACCAAAAAAATCCATTCATAGATAGTTAATATCTTCAAAGAGACCTTGTTATCTGAGTGATTTAAATCAATAATATCCTTACAGTTTACATTAGTGTAAAATTAAGGTATGATTGCCAATGAGACAACTATCCACAAAAGTCCAAATAAGGTGGATGTAAGACCAGCAAGTAACAAAAACCCTTTAAATTACAGGCTCCTGGTTTTGGACAGGCACAATTAGCCATGGTTTGCCTAAATTGGGTTCATTTCAAAAGACAGTCATGTGCTAAAATGACAGCCAGAGGTACCATGATCAACTTGAATTGTTTTTAGAAAATATATTAATTATTCACAGATTTCATCATCACAGTAATGAAACCTTACCTGAACATTTTCCATATTAAAATTTTGATAATAAATTATCTTTCCATCAATTTTTAAAGGAGCTGGTTTGAATAAAGAATCTTTTAACAAATTCTTTCTTTTTTTTTCTAATTATTTTTTTATGTTGATTCAAAATCACCAAAATTTTCATTTAGGAAGATACATTTATTGCACATGTCTAACTTTTATTTCTTATTTTACACTTATTATTAGGAAAATAAGGACATGTGGTATGATTGCCAATGAGACAACTATCCACCAAAGTTCAAATGAAGTGGATGTAAGCAATTATTGGCAACTGTACATGTAAGGCCTTTAACAATGAGAAAAAAACCATACCGTATAGTATCATATTACACATGTCTCATTTCTATTACTGAAGATACATGTATGCTTATTTTCCTCTAATGAAAAGTAGTACAAAAGACAAAGTAATATTGAGCATGTGTCCCTACATCTGTCCTATATACATGATATAAATGAGCTCGCATGCTTACAAATTTTGCCAGATTTAAAAAAAAATTTATATTTAAGGTTTATATATTAGCAATGTTCGTAATCTGTGTCAATCAACTACTATTTTGAAAGGAGTGATGTCCATTGGAAATATAAATTGTACAAAGAATTGCATTGTATACACACTCAAGCCTACATTTTTATATAAATTTATATCAAAGGTTTACATTGTATAACAGCAATGTCTTGGATGAGTCCATTATGCAATGCCAATTAACTATTTTTACTGGAATTATGTCCCTTTGTTATTGAATTATCAGCTCTCAATCACAAAAGTTTTATTCAACAAGTTCTTGGAAGAGATTGCTTTGAAAATTATCTCTCGTCTACATGACATCTCTTGTATGATTTATATCAAAAAGTTTAAAAGAACAAAAAACATATATATATATACGAGCCTAGGTGCTCGAGTGGTCTAGCGCGTCGGGCATAGTGCAAGGCGATTTGGTGCCACGATATCTCAGTAGCATGAGTTCGAATCCCGGCCAGGGAAGAACAAAAAATTTGCTTCCACAAATTTACAGATCTTACATTGTTGGGCTGTTATTTAGACGAATTATGTATACAGAATGTGTTTTCAGCCTTGTATCACCATCACTGGTGATCCGATAGATAGAATCTGTCGTAGAGTTGTCACTGGTTTAGACGTACTTATAATATAATTATTTCTGTGACTGCATCCTAAATTAATTTGTAAGATCCTCTACGATAGATAATTCAGCTGATCTGTAATATTCCATCTTCATGCCTTATATATCATGTTCTGTGTTACGACGCTAGTTAAAAACTGACGAGGAAAGGTAACACCCGGCCACCAAAGCTTGATTTTTGTCAAGCCTAGGTGGTCGAGTGGTCTAGCGCGTTGGGCATAGTGCAAGGCGATTTGGTGTCACGATATCTCAGTAGCAATAATTTCGAATCCTGGCCAGGGAAGAACAAAAAATATGCTTCCGCAAATTTACAGATTTAACAATGTTGGGCTGTTATTTAGACGAATTATATATATATATGACCTGTAAGTCAAATGCGTTTTGTTTAAATATACTTTTTCACTTTTTTGGTCTTTTGGATAATGTTGTTTAAAAATCGCAATTTTTATGCGTGTGCATGCAAAACAAATTTCTTGGTAAAGGGGTCTAAATACAGCACAAACAACATTTTACAAAAGACCAAAAAAGTGAAAAAGTATATTTTAACAAAACGCATTTGACTAGCATGTTTAAGAACGGATGTTCTGAAACCCCGCTGAATGCCATGGTGATTGCCAAATAAATATATATATAATAGAGAAATTGCCTTCAGACAAATCAAATATGTGCATTGTTGATGGAAATTTTGAACACTAATCTTTTATTACACAATTCTCATTGCCAAAGAAGTACAGAGATAAGGTATAACAAATGAACTATTTATTTTTAAGAACTAATAAACTGGAGAAAAAAACCTGTTCTTTTATGTAATAGTGAAGGTACAAAATGTACATATCTTTTTCAGCTGTGATTCAGTAGACAAATTAAAAAGTAAATGTACCTCCTTTGAATCAGAAATAAGAGACTCAACAAAATTTAAAGACTTTTATCAGTTTACATTTAACTATGCCAAAAACCCAGGACAAAAAGGTTTAGGTAAGATTATAGTTAGTGTTTTATATATAGATAGTAATATGACCTCCTCCAAAATATTATAAAAATCTAATAGAGTTATAGAAGTAATCAAATTATCCTTTTTTTAACACAGTTTCAGATGAGATATTGTAATATTCAACTTTGCTTGAGGATGTTTTTTTAATGTTGATCATATAAAGTCTTAAGTCATTGCAAGTAGAAAAAGAACCTCAAATGACAAAAAAAGGTAGTCCTGAAAATGCAGGACGTTTTTGCCGCTGAACATTAAGCAAACAATAATCAATCTATAAAAATAGGGCTGATGCATATAAAACACAAAAAGTAACTAAGACAACAGTACATATATAATATGTGGAAATTATATTACTCCTAGACTATGATGTAAATTGTTAGTGCTTTGAATCATATTGTACAATATATTTTTTTTCAGATTTAGAAATGGCAATTGCATATTGGAATATAGTGTTAGCAGGAAGATTTAAATTTTTAGATGTATGGAGTGAATTTTTACAAGTAAGATTTCTTATTTATATTATGAGAACATATATTTATCATCTATAAAGAAACTTGAACATATAAATAAGTATGTACTCTAATCATCACAGCCAGATGATTAATTATACGACCGCAAAAAACGTATATTGGTATGACGTCGTCCGAAGATACATTGGTTTTCGCACAATAACTTTAGTATAAGTGAATGGATCTCTATGAAATTTTACCATAAGGTTCAATACCACAAAAGGAAGGTTGGGATTGATTTTGGGGGATATAGTACCAACAGTTAAGGAATTAGGGGCCAAAAAGGGGCCAAAAATAAGCATTTTTCTAGTTTCCATACCACAAAGGGATGGTTAGGATTTGCTTTGGGGGGTTATGGCTCAAACCGTTTAGGAATTAGGGACAAAAAAGGGGGAAAAACAAGGGTGTCCTGGTTAATGGACAAATAGTTTAGTACAAAACATAATTTAAAGCAGTGTTAGGGAGGTAATTCAAAAACATCATTTGAATTACCTCCCTTACACTGCTTTTAAATTATTCATAAAGTAATGGTTAATGAACAATTAAGACAATTTAAAAGCAGTGTAAGGGAAGTAATCCAAATACAACGTTTTGATTACCTCCCTCACACTGCTTTTAAATTATGTTTAAAGAAATGCATATTTATAAAGGAAGACCAGTGAAAATATCTGCAAATGTTGCATCTTTTTTCTTTTACAAAAAAATCCATATGAAAGATTTGACACCATATTTTAAATTCTATTATAAAATAGATTAAGTTAGCACTATGGTAAATTTAAATGGGTAATTATGGTTGCAAACTTTATTGGAAATTTGAATTGAGATTGTGACCATATCTTGAGGGAAAGAATTTTTTTGGGGGAAAAAGGAGAAGGGGGGGGGGAGTTTTAAAAAGAAATTGTGGGGTGTCAATTTTTTCTCATTTCAGATTTCAGAAATCAAAAAGAAAAATTTTTCAAACATTATTTTTTTTGCAAAAAAAAAGTGTGTGTGTGGGGGGGGGGGGGGGGTTAATATGCAACAGCATAGTGTACTGCACAAAAGCAAGAAAAAAGGGGGGTAAATTTTTTATTTTTTTTTGTGGGGGGAGGGGGGTCAATTCACAACAGCAAAGTGTATTGCACAAAAGCAAAAAATTGAATATAAATTCAAATTGTATAACCAATTCTAAGTTCTTTGACTACAGTTGTTCTGTGTCAGAAACTTTTTATGTGTCAAATATTTAATTACAATCCAAATTCAGACCTGTATCAAGCGTGAATATTGCATCAATTTTGCCCCAACTGTTCAGGTTGGACCTCTGCGGTCGTATCCAGCTGCGCTCGGCGAAGCAATTTATTTCATATGCATGTACCCAGTAGGTTGCTTTTTTGGTCATTCTGCTAACTTTGCTTTCTTTCTGTCAAGGTTTAATTTATATCAGTACACATTTTTGTGTAAGAATCAATACATCAAAAATGTTTGAACAATTTTTGTTAAAATTATTGTGATGATAGTTTTAAAGTGATTATATGTGTATATTTAAAGCTAATTATTGAAGGATACTTACAGAACTTCTTTTCATCAAATGGAAGAAAAAGTTTCATAACTTTTCTGATAAAACTGACAAATTATATGTTGAAAAAGAAGCATTGTCTGTTTATACACTATACAGTGCCTAGATCTATCTAGCATGTTGTTTAAGCTCAAAGTTCATACATGAAATAAAACCGCCTCTGTGGTCTTTTGGTAGCTTTCTAGTCTCCAGTGCAGGAGACAGGTCGGTTTGATGCCCGACCAGAAAAAGAACCAAAGACTTGAAAATTGGCATTTGCTGCTTCTCTGCAAAAAATGTTTTTAAATGTTGATGTAAGATAATGATTTAATCATATCTGTTTCCTTTGTGGAAATTGAAAACAAAGAAAATTGGCAGCAACTGTTAAATTGTTTGTTATGTTCAAATGGCTTGAATTTCTAATATCTTAAATTGTCTCAACATTTTTAGCTTGAATTTACACATTTATTACTATATTTGCAGGAACACCATAAACGATCAATACCAAAAGATACCTGGAATTTATTATTAGATTTTTGTAATATGATCAATGAAGATATGACAAATTATGATGAAGAAGGTAATTAAATTAAATAGAATACAATACTTCAGTTGGTAACTGTCTTGTGGTTGTATTCCAGATTTAGTGTCTAAATGAGTTCCTATTATTTTACCCGATTATTTCTTGCATTTAGGTAGGTACCTTTCAAATGGAAACTATATAAGGGTATAGAATTTACTGTGAATAATAGGTAATGTGAGGTATTTGTCATTGAAACAGCAACTCAACAACACAAATAATAGAATTTTACAATGAGTTTTAATTCTTTGCTAGTTGTAGTTAAATTTATTGTTATTACCCTGCATCTGTATTCATCAAATGTAGTGATATCAACTTCTAGCAAAGAATTATCAATGTGTATAAAAGAAGATGTACCTTTTATTCAGATTAAAACAGTTGTTTATTTTTCTTTTCAGGTGCATGGCCAGTGTTAATAGACGAATTTGTAGAATACGCAAGACCTCTGATAAAAGGACCTAAGAGTACAACTGTTTGATGATTGTTATGCTTTATATTTGTTTTATGAGGCCTTGACTTAACTCAGAGGACATTTTTATATAGGCTTCTAGAATAAAATTGTTAAACCTAGTTACAGATAAACCATACTATCTTCCTGCTATTGTGCAATAGTCAGAATGGTTTTATTGGCTTGTGATCCGTCTTGATTGTTCAATTGATGATGTCACCAAACACAAAGAAGCCATGGAACAGAAAGCTGTTTTGCATTTTTATCATATAAAATGTATTTGGATTACATTTAGTTCTCTTTTTCCATTTTAAGGCTAGCTAAATTGCTTGGTTTATAAGTATTTCAAAACTATAATATTTACCAGGTGTGTTATGTACTTGTTAAGGCTTGCTTTTCTGGATGTGGCATCTTAAAAAAAGACAAAGTAAAACACTTTAACCATTTTTACTTTGTCTATCTAACTATCATGTTGATATTTATCCCACTTTCCTTTTATTTATATAAATGGATGCTACAGTAAAACAAAACACTGCCTACAAGGGCATGTAAAAATATCCTTTTCTTTATCAAAACTTGTAGTTTGAACCTTTGTATTTTTTTTCTACTGAATGCTCCCTATATACAAATATTCTATTGTTTTTGCTGTTTACAGTTCTTTTCACAAAAAATTAAACTGTTTTACTCTTATAACTACTGTTGTTATGTAAAATCTGAAGTATTAAACATGAAACTGAGGTATTTCTTCATATATATTTAATAGACATCTTGTAAAGAAATTATAGCTAGGCATTTTTCACATTTAATGGCAATGATAAAAGGTTGTTCATTCTGTGAAATTTTCATCTGTGTAGTCTACAGGCATACACAAATGGGTTGGAAACCAGTGTTTTAATTGAACATCAGTATTAAAGATTATTTAAGGAAATACCTTGTGTGTAATGTATTTTCCAATGAAAAATAATAGTGTGCTAATATTAAGTGCTTGGCTGTGAATTATTATTTTTGTTGGCTTTTTCTTGTATCTGATATTACATCATTCAATACTGCAGTTAAATTTTATTAAGAAAGCAAAATTTATAGGATATAGATTTACTGTAAAAAAGATTCATTTTGTACAACTGTGAAATGTCCAGCAAAAGATTTTTAAAAAGTTGTGAAATTTTAATTGAAATATTAATTTAAATATCCATAGAGTAAAATTATAAATGATTGATACTTTCTAATGTTTGAAAGACTTGTTTTCTTGAAGAAGTAAACAGTAAAGAAATTAAATGAGATTTAAAGAAATTTTTCTTTGGTTTGAGTATGAGACATTTTTGTGTGTCCACACATGCATTATATATATGTACTATGTTCCTGTCTTTTTAACATGTTATTTCAGATGATAACTTTCTTAACATGGAATAATATAGGTAGTATGAATTATTGCATTGGTTGCAACGACTTTCCATTAAGATAAAAACCGATAATTTCACATGTAACATAAATCAGAAAGTTTCACTCATCTGACCTCATACAACAATGGATGTTGTCATGATAATGTAGATGACATTGATTGAAAAGGAATTGAAAATGTGTAGAAAAAAATGTAGTTGTTTGTATTTTCTCCATTTTTTTCAGAAAAAAAAGTCTATGGTCAATGTAATAAGAAGAACAAATCCAAGAATACAAATATCAGAAAATGTTCAACTTGTGACCGAACAACACTTTTAAATTATGATTAACTCATGCACTATGTGCACTCGTGAATTAATATGTTGTTCGGTCACTAATTAAATAATTTTCTGTATTTGAATTCTTGGATTAGTTATTTTATAATTAATGTATACTAGATGTAGACTATAGAATTTTGCTTGCTACCATAAGTGAACAAAGACAAAAAAATCTATCAACACTAGACATCATGGCCAGCTTCAAAATCTTATTTCACCAAAGTGGTGTGAAATTATATGCATATTCTGTGCCCTCTGGGTAGTAATATTACTGATTCATTTGTATTATCATATTAAAATGTAATATTTAATGACAGAATTGTTATATTAAAGTTGAATAACTATAAAGTTGGTTTCTTAATGTCAATCTGCAAATTTTTTATGCATATTAATGGAATATAGATATGTATTACCATAACAGTGTACAAAGGTGAAACCTGTCTGAACAGAACATACTTAGGACTGAAAAGTTTGTTCAGATTAAACAGGTGTTTGGTTAACACAAACTGAATTACTATTAGAATATTCATAGTACTGGTACAAGACTGTAGTACTGCTTTCCTGTAAATTCAGGGTCAGTTTTCAGCATTTGTCACTATACTCATAATTGATTTTCAAGCCATATTTTGCTTACAACTTACAAGTGGACCTGGTGCTAGATTTTCTCGTTTCATCTCTCTTTTCAAAAATGTTTTTTTTTAATTCAAAATATAATGTTTCCATATGTAGGTAGTAATCAGAAATCATTCTTGTCAAATTCATGCTTCCCATTGACTATTCTGGTCTTTATATTGTCAAGTAATTTTGTGTCACTCAGTTACTGTAAATTCAGAAATTTTTGAGAAGTTATTTTATTATTGTGAAAATTACAATGGGATATGTTTCGCAATAATAAATACTCGAATTTTATATTTTGATAGAATTAATTGTATGCAACATTTTCTGAAATGGCAATAATTAATCACATGTTTTCATATGACTGCAAATATTTTTTTGTAAATTGTTCTCATTTTGTAATAAAAAATGTAAACAAAAAATTTCTGAATTTACAGTATGAATAGCATCCTGATATCACTTTGGGTTAACAAGGTTAACAGATTGTGATAATATGGTCACCACTCTCCAAGCAAATTCTACTTATACTTCCCACCTTATGAAAATTTTAGTGTCATTCTGTGTAGGGGCATCACTTTTTCTGCAGTAGCTCTTGCTTATAACATAGACACAATACATACCATCGGCTTTGCATAATGCATATAGAACTAATGCTTCTAGATATTTATTCATGAATATTTTTTCTATAACAGTGAAGAAAGGAGTAGGGGTATAATAAGACCCTTATTTGGTCTAAATATCAGTGCGAATTTAAAAGTTACCATACGTGTCCTTGAATTTATCTCATTTTATTAAGGTATAAGGTGTTTAGAAAATTAAACAAATTTCACATTTAAAAAGTTACAGAAGCAACATACCATTACTAATTTGTATAATTGATCAAATTTATTGATTTTCCTTGTTTTGCATCATTTTCGAAACATAAGCACCCAAGAAACAACTTTATGTTTTGAGGGATTATATAAATAGCTTTAAAGGGGCACTAGCTAGGAGATATTTAAAAAATCTGAAATATGATTTTTTTTTTTTGTTCAATCATTAATGAAAGTAGAATAGTGAAATAATAATTCTCTTTTAGCAGCCAGTATAGTTCAATTTTGTCAAAATAAGCTAAAAAACATTGATGATTAATTATTCACTTGCAAGTGAATAATTCGACCCCATTGAATCCGTATTCATGTGAACTTCAATTTAACCCCTTGGCTAGAAATAGATAATGCATGCATTGTGCGTGTTGAGTTATTTAAAGGAAAAGAATGTCAACATTGAAAGTGAAACAAGGGTAAATCATTTGATTGACTGATTTGATCCACAAAAATCATTCTTATACAGGTTAAAAAGATGATTAACATATATTTTTAATCTATAATATGAAATTAAACAGATTTAGAAAAATCCAATTGCACGAGTTTCAATATCTATTTATATTTATATTTATGTTTATATCGCTTATATGGCCATCAGATGTGTTCGGAGATCAACTCGATAGTTAATTAGATGGCGCCTAGACTAAAATACACACGAAACAAAGCTACATATTCTCGAGCCCATGCCCTGTAAATTGTTTATTTTAGACTTTATAATTTGGATAAATGTTTTACATTGTTATAAATCAAATATGAGAATTAGAGTCAAATCGGTGAACATGAATTTGACAGCTAGTGCCCCTTTAAAAAAGCTACTCTAAAATTATTTTGATGTTTCTTGGCTGCACACAATGTTTTAATAAGTGAAATATGAATGGAAAATTGAACATTAAGCATGAAAAAGATAAATATTATGACGTAATTGTGACTTGTATTCTCAAAAGACTTGTCTAATTCATGAATTTTATTTTACCCTATGCATTTCTAAACATTATTTGCAAAAATGAAATAGTTTTTAAAAATTTGTTTTTCTTGGGCCAAAAACAGGCCTAAATGCCCTTGCTCCTTTGATCATTACCTTCAGAAGAGAAATTTTATCCACAGTAATTATTATCAGAAAACATCAGTGTTTCAGATGTTCAATGATGAAGAAGGTACTTATGCATTTATGTATCATTTATGATGTGAACAATCCACCAGGAAATAAGATTAAATGATGTGGAAAATTCTTTGTTTCTCCATTTTGGGAGCTTCTTGAGCCAATAGTCTTGCTTTAGGTCACCTATATTAGGTTTGTTGATTTAATGTAGGTCTTTCTTCAGATTTTTATTGTTGAAAATTATACTTATTTATATACTGGTCTACATTTGTTTTGAGTTGTATCACTTTAAGAGAATGCTCTGATTCAATACAATTTTAATTGAATGTTCATAAAGCATCTGATGATTGTAGCAAAAATGAGCTGAAAAAAAAATAGATTAAAACTGTCAGCATAATTGTATACATCTTTCAATTAGAATTTCAGTGACTCCTTCAAGACAATTATGTTGTCATTTAGAAAAGTATTATGTTTTTTTCTGAGTTAAATCATTTTAATGCTGTTCTGTTGTGAAGATAAATATTCATTTTTTGCAATAACTTTAATAGTGCAGGCAAACAGACAACCTTGCACAAGAAGCATCAACTCAAAACAAATGAAAGGCAAAATATACTATGTATATGTTTTAATAACATAGGAAGCTACTGAGGGAAGTTCTAAAGTTTGTTTATGCCTATTTACTTTAAGTGATACAATGTTTATTCTCAATCTTGAACTTTTTATTGATTGAATATTAATGAACTATATTTACATATTACCATTTAATACCCAACAAGTTCAGTTGTATGGATATTTATATCACTACTTATTGTACCTATCAAAGAATGAAGAAGTACAAGTAAATTTGAAAACTTTAAATAGTCTTTGTTCCTTTTGGTAGCACTCCTAGCTCAATTTTAGTCCCCAACTGGTATTATATGTTTGCATGCTGTCTGTCAAGTTTTCCAAAACTTTTTTCAGCTCTATAGGAATAAGAAGATATGATATGATTGCCAATGAGACAATTATCCACCAAAGACCAAAGGACAAGGATGTTTAAAACTACTCAAGGTAAGGCCTTCAGCAATGAGCAAACCCATACCCTATAGTAAGCTATAAAAAGCCCCTGCATGACAAAATGGGAAGCAGTTCAAAAAAGAAAACCCTTGGCCTGATCTATGCTATAATAAAAGAAAAACAAAAAGTGCAGACAGCAGCCAACAACAACAACTGAAATACAGGCTTGTGACTTGGGATAGGAACATGTGGCAGGGTTAAACATGGTTTTAAGCACTCAAGCCTCCCCTAACCAGAGACAGTGGAGTAACAGCATAACACATACACAATAAAAATCAGTTGAAAAAGCCTCGACATCATATTGGCATGAAGCACAAAATTCCTAGCGAAACGACAAAAAAGCCAAAGTACTAATTGTAGAATACTCGCTGTTTCTAGAAGCTAGTTCAAAGCCAATTTCATAGAACAAATATCAAAAATGTTTTTCATAGACTAAAATATCAATACATATCCAATCCAAAGAATGTGCCAAAATCAGTTGTTTAGATCTTTGTTGTTAAGGTGTAATACCACCAAATCATAGTACGTCACATCCGGTTGCATACGAAAATAGGTCGAAAAAAAATATTCCCTCGAATTTGACAGTTGTAGGTAATTGATCCTACATTTCATTGCAGTAAAACATTTCTGAGTCATAAACATATATCTTGGGTATTTCAAAGCACCATTATTTCTTTACTTGGGGTTTCTATAGAATATTTTGGAAACTTGAGGTTACATGGTTACTAAAGCTTGTACACAGGTTAAAAAAGGGGGAAAATTTGATTGGTTAACTTCCAGTGATGGTTATTTTCTTATATGCAATGAAATGTTATGTGAAATTTTTTCTATAGTACTGGACAGGATAAAACTTTACTCATGCCAAGTATTTCTTTATTTGAAACAAAGATAAATTCTGCACAATTTTTTGAAAAGTGCAAATTTAACAAAGACTAATAGGGGAAAATCAATGGTGGTATTACACCTAATATGGGAAGCTGTACATGCACCTTTGACCTTGTGAGTACTCTCATGTGTTAAAATTTCTTGCTATTTAAGTGAAATATTACAAATAATGAAATATTCTGAGTGGGTTGAGTCTCCAAAATACATTTTATGAGAAAATTTCCTTGAAATAGGACTTTACCATGAATATTAGTTGACAGAACAAGCAATACTTAGAGTCTTGGGGAGCTTTTTCTCCTTATTTCTTATATTCTGCTATATTAGAAAAATTTTCCTAAGAAATACTTTAATAAATATATAGTTTTAAGTAAATGAAATTATTTTTAAAGCAGTAACAACAAATTATTCACCAAAAGAGAAGTTTTTTATGTCCCTCTCTGGAACGCGGCGTAAATTTAAGTTTTACATAAGGACTTATTGAAACCTCCTTGGAGACAGTAAACTTTTATACGGATAGTTCATTCAGCTTGAATACTTCAATTAATCATTTATAATAACATTTCTATCATAAATGAGTGAAAGTTACCCCAAAATTTTTTATTTATTGGCCTAAAAAGTAGAAATTTTGAGGAAATGAGAGGTATAAATGGACCAAAAGAGACCTTATAAGAAAGACAAAGAGGTCCATTAGTAGTATTTATCATCCTAAAGTCATCTTTGTATCATATTCAACTGTTTGTAGGCAGCTGAGATAAATATTTGATCATTTATTGGTCCACACTATATTCTATCATGATGCGGCTTGGTTTGAATTTTTCGAAGAAATTTTGCTCGAATCGCTGTAGATGTCGTCTTACATTATACTAGATTTTTCTCAAACTATTGAACTGATTATGACAAAACTTGACAGGAATGCTTGAAATAACCAGTATTACAAAGGAAAAAAGTCACATTCAGTTTATTTAACAAAAAAGTCTTCTTTAAGTCATATCATAAGAAGTTGCAATTCAAGATTTAATTATGTAGCCAAGGAATGACATAGAAAATTGCTTAAAAATATGAGTTTTCTGCACTTTTTTCTGTAATACATAAAATCAGTTGATGAGATATTTGGTATATAGTCATATAAGAAGTTAAGATCAAGTTTGAGAAGTTGTGATGTTTAAAAGCCTGATAAATTTCTGTATCCAAACAATTTATTGGTTGGTGATTAGGTCAGTTTATGAGGAACCACTAGAGATGTGCCAATGATATTTGGTATGCAGTTGTATAAGTATTGGGACATCTCATTTCCATGGAGATTATTTGATCCTGCCCCCTCAGACATGGTCGATTGACTTCAAACTTTTGCTTAATTACCTGTATTAGTTTGTGATTAGGTCAGCTTATAGGGAACCACTAGTGGTAGGTCAATGATATTTGGTATGCAGTTGTACTAGTATTGGCACATATCATTTCCATGAAGATTATTTGGCCCCATTCCCCAAGTCATGGTCTATTGACTTTGAAACTTTTGCTTAGCTTACATGTATTAGTTTGTGATTAGGTCAGTTTATGGTGAACAACTAATGGAAGGTTAATGATATTTGGTGTGCAGTTGTATAAGTATTGACACATCTCAATTAAATAGAGATAATTTGGACTCGCCCCTCCTCATGGTTCATTTACTTTGAAAATTTTGCACTGTTTGCATATAAAAGTTTGTATTTAGGCCAGTTTAAAGGGATTCACATATGATTAGTCAACAGTATTTGGTATTTAGTTTAATTAGCATTGAAAGTTCTAGTTTCAACGGATGGCCCTGCACCTTCAGTCATGGTTCATTGACTGAATGTTTTGCATAGTTTACATGTTATAAAGTATTCTACATGATTTCAACATTTACTATATTCCATCAAAATTACCTAAAGGCAAGACTATCTCTGGGCCTACAGTTTGTTGAAAATTTCAACCCACGAAAATTCAGGATCTATCCTAAATAAATGTGGATTGTGTCCACATGTGGACACAGTTGATGCCCCCGCTTGCATATCATATAGTTATAAAGGGACATAACTGAAGAACGGTAAAAGTGACGCTACCCAAATTTGAACTTGATCTGAGTTTTGTGGTAATAAGCATTGTGTGTAAGTCTCATAACATTTGGTTGAGGTTAACTTAAGTAGAGAACAGAAACAAAAAATTCAGAAATTTTTCTATTTGTAAACATGCATAACTCTAGAACGGTTGTGTATAAAATTTATAACATTTGGTTGAGACAAACTAAAGTTAGGGAACGGAAACGAAAAATTTAGCAATTTTTATATTTATAAAGGGACATAACTCAAGAATGGTAAAAGTGACGCCACTGAATTTTGTACTTAATCTGTATTACGCAGTAATAAGCATTGTGTATAAGTTTCATAACATTTGGTTGAGGCAAACTAAAGTTAGAGAACGGAAACAATTTTTGTACTTGATCTTAGTTTTGTGGTAATGAGTAATGTGTATAGGTTTCATAATGTTTGGTTGGGGCAAACTTAAGTTACAGAATGGAAACTAAAAATTTTGCAATTTTTCGATTTATAAAGGGGCATAACTCAATAATGGTTAAAGTGACACTACCCAAATTCAACTTGATGTGTGTTTTATCTGTGGAAGGCAAAATTAAACATTGCATTGTATAAAGCATTGATTGTAGTTGATTCAACTATAGTCATCGACAAAGGAAGATAACTCCCAATTTTAAAAATTACTTGAATAATGACTGATATTTTTGGAAAAAAAATGAAAAATTTAGCAATTTTTCCATTTGTAAAGAGACATAACTCTAGAACAGTAAAAGTGATGCACCCAAAATTCAAACTTGATCTGTGTATTGTGGTAATAAGCATTGTGTATAAGATTCATAATATTTGGATGATGCAAACTAAAGTTAGAGAACGGAAATGAAAAATTTTGCAATTTTTCCATTTATAAAGGGGCATAACTCTAGAACTGTTAAAGTGATGCCACCAAAATTCAAACTTGATCTGTGTTTTGTGGTAATAAACTTTGTGTATAAGTTTGATAACATTTGGTTGAGGCAAACTTAAGTTAGAGAACGGAAACCAATTTTGGGACGTACAGACGGACAAGGGTAAAACTTAATGGCCCTCCGCTTATATCCGATATATCCATGAAACTTAACATTGATCAATGAGTCATGAAAATGAGGTCAAGGTCAGATAATTCCTGCCAGACAGACATGTACACTTAAAAATCATACCATACACCAAATATTGTTGAACTATTGCTTATAGCATCTAGGAATCAGATATAACCATGAAAAATTAACAATGACCAATGAGCCATGAAAATGAAGTCAAGGTCAGATGAACCCTGCAAGACAGACCCTTACAATATTTCCATACACCAAATATATTGAACCTTTTGCTTATACATTGTAGTATCTGGGAAATTAACCAAATCACAAAAATTTAACATAATACAATAAATCACATAAAAAGGTCAAGGTCAGATGAAACCTACCAGAGAGACATGAACACCTTATTATCATAATCTTATTATGAGTAATAGGATAACTTTATTTGGTATATGTGATCCTTGCATGGTCAACATGTCTGTCAGATGGGATTCACTTGACCTTGATTAATGATCCATGTTAATTTTTCTTGGTTAATACTGTTTCTCAGATACTGGAATTATAAGGTGAACATGTCCCTATGTATAGTTTATCTGACCTTATTTTTATGGTTCAATGGTCAGTGTTAAGTTTATGTGGTTAGGTATCTTTCTCAGATACTGTAAGAAATAGGTCCATTAGTTTTGGTTGATGGAATAATTGTAAGGTGAACATGTAAGTCTCACAGGGTACATCTGCCCTTGACCTCATTTACATGGGTCATCGTTAATGTTTGGTTTATGTGATACTTTTAGTAAAACCTTAGATTTTGTTTACATAATTTCATAATGACATGTAAGGCAGGCTAGACATTTCAGCATGTGAACACTTGATATACATTTTATTAATATCATTGACCAGAAAGTATGCAGTAAAGAACAGTATTTCCAAGAAGATATTTAAGCTAAAATTTTATTTAGGTACAGTTTATTTCCTGATTAAATTTTGTTTTAAGTAATAGAAGTACTTATTTTTCTTAGTTTTTCAACTTTTACCTGTGAAAGGCAGTACAGGTGACACACCAGCTGCCAACCCTGTTAAACTAGGGTAGCATTACAAAAGTAGGGAGGGCCATATGGGTAAATAAACTTGACACAGATATGTCTCACCTGTACATAATTTTGATACCAAAAGGCAAGTGTTGAGATTAAAATTGCAATTTTTTAAAATGTAAACTATGCAAAAGATTCAAAGTCCATGAACCATGATTGAGGGTGCAAGGCAAAATAATCTCCATTGAAATGATGTTCCAATGCATATACAACTGCATACCAAATATCATTGTTGCCCTTAATCTGACCTAATCATAAACTATGTCTCACATGTACATAATTTTGATAGAAAAATTTGTACTTTAAAATGTGAACTAAGTAAAAGTTTCAAAGTCAATAAACCATACCTGCAGGGCCATTCAATCTCAATGGAAATGAAATGTGCAAATGCTAACACAACTGCATACCAAATATCATTGACCCACCACTAGTGGTTCCCTTTTATCACAAACATATATTGTTGACACCATCAGCGCCTTTGGAAACAGTGCACCTAAGTCTCTTGCCTTACCAACTTCTTGTAAACTTTTGTCAAATTTTCAGATTCTGAATTTCGTGATTTTTTTCTAGGAAAGGCAAACTAAGAAACTAAGGTTCTCTATCATGTAAATATGTCTGTATAATCAACAGTGTTGACAAGAACAAATTATATAAAATGAAGTATCCCTGAAGCACAAACTATTCATAAAACCATGTAAAATTGTTGCCATAAAAATGTATAAAAAAAAAAAACATTCTTGGTTTGTTGTTTTATTATAATAAACATAATACTCAAATGGAATATGATTTTAAATATTGCTATATAATTGTATGTTAATACACAGTGCTGTGCTTGCTAATGCATAGATTTTCGTTAAATAATAATATCAACAAAACATTGTAAAAACAAATATATTCTAATTTTCTACCATACTTTAATGCTGACAACTAGAAAGCTAATTTTGTGTCTGATATGCCGAATATGCTGCTATTATAAATTCTTCTTGTTACTAAATAAATTAGAAAACATCACAGATGTACAAATATACTTATTTATTATTTAGATTTTTAAATTTTCTATCATACTTCTAATGCTGATGACTAAAAAAGCTAATTTTGTGTCAGATATGCGGATTATGCTGCTATTACGAGCTACAAACTTTCTTTCACAATTACATGTAAACAAAAAACAAAACATCACAGATGTACAAATGAAGAAAAGCATTTAATTAAGTAATAAAAAAAGTTAGGTTGAATGATCCTGGTAATAAGATTTTTTATATGTATCATAAGCAATTTAACAACGAGGTATCAGAAAACTGATAATAATACATGTATAATGAGTTGAAAATTGAAATAAATAAATGTCAGATAACTTTGTTAAACTATAATCTAATTTCCAATATCATTGTGAAATTCTGTGTCAAGCTATTAATATAAAGTAAAACAAACCCTGTTATATTAACCCTTTTCACTGAATATTTTGAGCAGTTCATTGATGAAACAGAGAGTCAATGGAAATAAATTTTTCATTCGATGTGTGTAATAATCATGAAAACATTTACAACCTAATAAAAATTACTTTGTGTCAATTTTTATCCTGAGTATATCACATGGTTCTTACATTAATATGGACGTTAAGCAGCCATCCATTATCATCATCTTACATTAATCTAAGTGCCACTCTTTTCTGATAACAGCCTTTAATTCATTTGTAATTTTTATTCGTTTTGGTATATGACAATATCTGATTTATATCTCTTATAACCTGTTAAATTTTGAATTTGAAGTTTAAAATTTTGAAATTTTCTTAGAAATTTGAATTGGTACATTTCTAAATTATTTTCTATAAATCTTATCAAACTATCAAATGAGATTTTCCATTTTTGTCAATCGATGGTTCATTTTTTCAAATTCATGATTTGTAACGACACTTAAATGAACAAAAAATTTAAACAAAATAACATCACTAGGAAAACAAACCAAAAAACATAAACATAACAAAAATAAAAATGTATAATTGTATAAGTCTTTCATTTTCAATCATTTTATTTCTGGTTAAATCAAATTGATCTTCAAACCGTAATTACCGTGAATTTGTAGATACAGGTATTATATATTGTGCTTTTGAGTGAAATATGGAAACATGAATACAAAATATGAGTATTAGCAAATAACCTTACAACAATGTAAATGTATATATCAATTATGTATAAATATATATCAAAATATTTTAAAAAGCAAAAATTATATAGTCAACATCTATTTATACCATGAAATGAAACTATTTCAGTAGCTCTCAACTAATTTTACTCAAATTCTTTAATCAACTAGTTGTATCAAGTTTGGATTTCTTAAAAAAATATTAATAGTTAGTTGAAGATTCATTAATTCAGAAGATTCAACAAATTTTTGGTAGCTCATCATCATATAAAACAAACAAATTAAATATATCTATATAATCAAATATCAGACACAGTACCTTTAAATACCACAATAAAGTTGCTGACAGAAAAGTGAGTTTCAGAAAGTTTGAACATATTTTTGTCCAAGAAATCCCATTTGGGCAGATCTGACATATATATGTGTTTCATTTCATAAAATACAAAATATATAACCAAACAATCAAAGCAATATCCAATTCCACCATTGCACAATTTGAAATGACATTGATGTACTTATTGTATGATTTTTGTGATATGGAAACATTTACAAGACATGAACCAGTCTTTGTAGAAATTAATATGGTATACAGAATATTAGTAGATAAACAATTAAAGTATTTTTTAAGTGAAAGCAAGAATTTTGATTAATACAAATCATCAAAATATTGAAATTTACCTGCATCTTAATTCTTCTTTTCATTGTACAAGGGAGGTAATTCATTACATAACATTTGTAAATTAGCACTTTTTGTGTCAAGGACATCACACATACAAAGATCACCAATCTCATTATAAAAAAAACCCAAAAAATTATCTATAATCTAATAAACAAAAACAATTTCAGTTATAAAAATGAATGAAATAAATGTACCCTGATTTTCTTTGAACCCTGTAAAAAATTAAGTAGAAAAAAACTAACTAAAACCCATTTTATATATATGAAAATTCAAAACTATTACATAATATTAATCCATTAACCCTTTTTCAGTCCTTATGGCTTAATTTTAATATGTTACAGCAGTTCTTTATTCATTTTGTAGAAAGTCATGTGATAAGTATGATTGCGATTCTAAAAATGAATGAACTGTAAAGGGTTAAAAATACTGGGGTATGTTTCAGAAAATTTATGAATGGTCTTAAGTAGTAGTATAACTGTAACCCTTGAAAATATTATAAATCAAGATGTACAAAGCATCAAGACAAAACATTCGTACAAAAAATCACACAAAATGGCTATGACTCATGATGCAAGTGTTTGAATAAAATATTTCCAAACAATCAGTATTCATTTGTCCAGAGTAAGTTACAAAATCAGATCTATCATTTCATATTTGAAGACTTAAAAGTTTGCAATCTCAGGTTTCAAAATCATCTTTTAGAAGTATAAATAAATTATAATTTTTCTCTCCACTCATCATAAGATCTTGCTGTAGGTTGACGTCCCGACATTGATGATCGCATTACTTCCTCTAGTTCAGCCATAGTGTCTACAATATGTACGAGGAATGGACTGCCGGGGACATCCACACTTGACCATTTGACACTGATATGATAGTCACCTATTTCTGTTGGATAGTATTGACACAAGATTGTCCTGTCTCTCTGGCTGTCACGTTTCATTTCCACTCTGAAGCTTCCTACAAGACAAGGAAATAATCTTTTCACTGGGCTGCACTACACTGGACAACAAATATTTACTGATAAATATGTAAATGCAGTTTAAAGAATTGATCAAGGCAAAAAGTTTTGAAATAATAGCTATGACAACATAAAAAAAACAAGCTGTATAAATAGTTTTTCCCAGAATCCTTTTAATAATAGGTCCACAAATACAGAAGTAAAGCAATCAATCCACAAGTACCAAATAACTCACATTAAATGTATATTCTTTAATAGTTAAAAAACAAACTTTTTTGAAAATAAGACCTGGCAACACAGCATAATGTTATAATTTTCCAGGTGTACAGATGTCTGGTATTTTCGTATTACCTACAGATCGTTTGTGAACAATTTACCTTAAAAAACAGCACTAAAAAAATTAAATACAATACAGATCACATGTTTACTGTTTGCCTCTTCCTATTACTTACCTTTTGGTCCTCTTACTCGAACTGTGAGTTGTCCAGCTCCTGCACCTTTGGTTTCTACAATAAACTTGCTCTGGAATTTTGCCAAGATTCCATGCTCCACACCTGGTCCTGTTACTCTAACCTTGCTGGCATCTGGTGGGGCTGATACTTTTATTATAAATGGACTACCTATAAATAATAATAGAAAATGTATGTTTTTGATCATTTCTTTTACATGATATTTTATTCAATTTCCTCTACAGTTGTGTAATAGTCTCATAGAAACCAGTCCGATAGAACAAGCAGAATACTACTTAGAGAAATCCAATGATTGTTTAGGCTTTGTATGTATAAATTACACATGAACTGGCACAATGAGTCATTGGGCATAAGTCTTAACTAGAGACTATTATTTTGATGAGGTTTAAACAGGATTTTGATTCACATTGGTCACTTATCTACAAACTTTCATTCACAATCTTGTTGATTTTTTAATCTTAGTTGAATATGACTGTAATCATAACTATTTAAAAAAAAAAAAATAACTAAAATAAAAATGTTCAATATACATAAAATTATCAACTATAATTTGATAAAAATACTGAATTTCGACTTTTCAAATACCTTTTTAAATTGCAGGTATTAAATCAATTTATTGAGAATTGAAAATAAACTTCAAGGTCAGACTAAGTAAAGGCCTTGCTTTTACCTTGTACATGTTCACCACCATATTTAACTTGTAGAACATGGCGACCAATTTCCTGGGGTTTGATTCTTAGTTCAAATGTTCCATCTCTATTATCTTCAAGTTCACAATAAGCTGCTTTATTGGGTCCCATACAGGATGCAGTCAGTTCACCTGGAACATGGAAAAAAATGTCATGTAATATCAAGAATCTGTGTTTTCAGATGAGTTTATTGCCTTTGAATTCATCAAGTTTTATTCAATACAATTTTGTTCTCCACTTATCATGGCTATTAAGGATTTTACAGAATTTGTTTTTTCGATTACTTAGGGGTAAATTGTACATCTGAAATTTTTTTTTAAAGGGAAGTAATTCTGAAATGCATACTTGATATCAAATTTAAAGATAAAAATATGTTCGAAACATCTGTCAAGGTTCTGCAGAATTATGAAAATGACTTATTTATAACCATATAAACTTCTGTCAAATGTTATATAATTCAAGTCTTCAAAAAAGAAACATGAAACAAACCTGGACCAGCCTTTCTTGTATCGATTGTTACGTTCAGTGACCTTCCTGCAATACCACCGGTCAGACCTTCTCCAGATACAGTCACTTTGTTTGGATAGAATGCACCGATAACATTGACCTTGTATGGAGATCCACGAAGTTGTCGATTGTTCCATGTGATATTAAGGAGATATGCCCCTGGAATAACTGGTACATACTGGCATCGATATTTCCCTTGTGCCACTGCAATAACTTTGACTGGAATTTCTGCCTTCACTCCAGTTAATGTTACCTCTGGTGTACCTATAAAAAATTTAATTTAATTATTTAAAGAATACCAGTAAAATTTTGCAATGTTACAGGTCTTCAAATACCTCCCCTTTTGTAGTTATATGGGAGGGGGGTTTAGAAATTGAATTCTACAAAAATGAAAAAAATTATGCAAAAACGTAACTTTCATATTTCATTTTTTGTTACTCAATACTTGTGCATCTCAATTACAAAAAAAAATATAGTTGTAAATGTGAAGCAGAAATCTACTTCCTTGCTCATTAGCCCACTATGACTAATTCAGAACAAGGTTTTAAAGATTTAAAATTCATAAATCAAATCTTCCTCGGTCATGAATTACCTGGGCCTGCCTGAGTACCATCAATGTTAAATTCAGCCTCCTCTCTAACTGATGCCTCCTTAAGTCCTCTTCCTGTCAAGATGACCTTGTTGTCTTGACGACCATGTACAGCATATCCTAGCAATGGCGACTTTGGAAGAGCCAATTTACTCCATTGCAGATGAATATAATGGTTTCCTGAAATAAAACAAAAGTTGATGAAAAAGTTTTTTGTATTGCAGTTTAAACTGTTGACATTATTTTAAAAGGATAATTTCAATCTAAAATCAATAAGTGAATCAATTCACAGCAACTAATCCAAAATTTTTTCATCGTGAGGTATCAGTGTGTGTGTGAGTGTACTAATCTAAAATATTTCAATCTGTTTTATGTGCATTTTTTTCTGACGAATGTTCAGATAAAGAAAATAAAGTACATATATTTATTCAGAGCCTTTCAGAACTCTTATTATGTCTTGTAAATGACTTGAATTATTTAAGTGTATGCTTATCAGAAATTAAACCACAAAATTTGAAATTTTGATTCTCACCTTCTTGTTCTGGAGTAAATGTCATTGTTACTTGACCACTTCCTGTTGCTTCTATCACAGAATGTAAACTCGATGTTGGTCCTGTAACTTCACTTGTTAGATGACCTGAAATTTAAAAATAAAAATTTAAAACCAAAAAAAATCTATTGATATTTGAATTCTACTCTAACAGTCTTTTAATGTGCTAAGACGATGCACATATTATATCTGTCTAATGGCAATAGCTACAATATATATTTTTTTTTTTCTTCTCTCAGAAAATCCCAAAAGAAATGTAGGCTTGAAAGGTCTACCAATGTAAGTTTATATATTTGATATTTCTAAGGGGCATTTACTCATAACACTATCTGTGACATTGGTGATATATGCCTTTGATATTAATTTCATAAAAATCTAGAAAGAATTGTATGTGTTACAAGACCATATGGACAAACTATGAAAATGCTTGAAATGGTGGCCAGTGCACATTAAGCAGAAAACAACAACCAATCTTTCCGTCATTCATCCTAGTAGACCCACAATTAAAAACCTACATGTAATTGATGTATTGATTTCATCCTTATTTTGCATGTGATATTTATTACACGATGTGAAGCAAACAAAAATCAATCATTCAACGTCATTGGACTCCTATTTAAATTTTATCTGCATAAAGCAAATACAGGATGCACACACCTAAACAGATATATAAATATAAATATAAATAGAGTTATTTATATAATTTGGTTTAGTTTTCATGAGGAGATGAGAACTTAAATATCTTATGGACAGACAAATGCAAGAACAAATTAACAAAGAAAGAAATATTAAGAGGATTCATTTGATTATTCATACTAATATTTGTGGTTTTATTGGGTATAATTTAACCAGGAATTGAATAAAATACAACTTTCATAATAGCTTGTATGAAGAATTTGTCAAAAGCATGTATATTTATAAACATACAATTTTTATTCAGTCACAAAAATTGGAACCCAACAGAATAAATGAACCCATAGTATACACAAATTATACCAATTTCAGGAGAGGGGATATATATTAAAGCAATATACCTGGTCCTGCCTGAGAAATATCAAAAGCTATATGCTTTGGTTCTCCAACAACAAGATTTATTCTATCTTTAGAATCTAATATCTGCTGCCAACCACCAACCACAACCACTTTATGAGGATCAACAACTTTGGGATGGAAAGGGCTACCTGGAAAGAAAATTAAAATAACATCATGAATAATAGTTTATATTACGGATTACAAATGTGTAGAGTTTTGTGATTGGATAACAACACATCAAGTACTTAATTAATGTCTTAAAGTGTTATTACAAATTATTGCATACACGAAAGATAGAATTATTTTCACAGATAATTACAAGATCCTTCACGTATGCAGAAAATATATATACTGCATGGTGAATGTTTAACAAATATCTGGTACTGAAAAAACATTTAGGCAGGGGTAATCCATTATATATGTGTAATTCAGGTTTCAGACAGGGTATATAATGTGACAATATATACCCTGTCTGAGACCTGAATAACATATAATGTTCTGTTTCTTTCCTCTTGACCATTTTTACACATTTTTAAAGTCTTATTAGATCAAAGAATTTTTACTTCAAATAACAAGAAAATTTATCATCCCAATTTAGTAAATTTTTATAAAATATAAAATGGTATTTTAATTATTATTTCCCCTTGTAAAGAATAATAAATTTATGTGAACTATTCTCAGTTAATTTCTTAAGGGAACAGAGACAATAAAAAATTGTCTCTCTCCTATATACTTAACTGTTCCACATGTTGTTTTTTTCTCTTTTTCAAGATATCAAAATCAAAGAAATCAACAACCATTTTTTCGTTAATTCCTTAACATCACATTTGCAAACATGCCTCCTTATTTCCAGGAAAAATGAATCTTGCTAATAATATGCTGTAGTCACAGCTGTTTCATAGATATTTGCAATTTTTAAAAGTATTAATCATCATCACTGCACAGAATATTGTAGAATTGTTTGTTTCAGACAGGATAAATAATATTATATAAATATGGTTACTGATAACCAAACCTTGACATCAAGGAAAAGTGAAGTTTCCAAATTTTTTTTTTTATGAAAAAATTTGATGATTTTGACATCTATATTTCAAGCAAAATGTTTGTTTTTGTCTTAACAATTAAAACGTTATCAGGTGGTATACAAATCTTTTTACAAGATAATTGTAAGTTTCAAACCAGTTCTCATTTAAAAGCTGATGAAATTTAAGCATTTATTCTTGGATCAAGCTTAATGATTTACATATGAATTCTCCCTGTTGATATATCTATATATGTGACTATTTTACACACCTGGTATATCTTTACCATTCCATGTTACAACCAGTGTGAACACTCCAACTTCTACTGGTACATAAGATACAATGTATCTACCCTCCCTTTGCTCTAGTGTTGTTTTGGCAATTGAATTTGGACCTGTAACAGTAATCTCAAAGTTTATCACTTTTGACTTATGGTAATACAAGTACAACAATTATAGTACAATGTCATATAAATTTTTGGAAGCTTTTAAATTGGGTTTTATTTGTTATTTCAGAGCAAAAAATATTCTTTGCTGGACATGAGTGAAAATTATTGTGTGATACTCCTCTCTGTTGCACTAGTGCAATAATGATCAAAAATAGTGCAGTTAACAGTAGCTAACAGTAATTAAACTTGTCATTTTGATAGGTTTAGCCATACAATAAAAATGTTATTCCACAAGTACTGGTAATATTTTCCCTGTAGCAAATAATGTTCTACTCAGGACAATATAAATAATTATCCAATATTTCCTCAATTATAAACCCCTTTATCATACACAAAGTAATTATATAAAAAAAAATCTTTTATAAGTTTCTCTTTCAACATACTCATACAATGTTGGCATAAGACAGTATATTGGTTGTTCTTTTTAAGTAACCACTTTTTGGTTTTGAAGCTGCCAAACATTTGTATTTGGCATCCCAAATTTTTGGTCTTGAAAATACCTGATAAATTTGTTCCAATATCTTTTTCTTAAAAAAAAAACAATATCATAAAACAACCATAAATATACTGTTTTGGAAAAATTTGTATCATGAATCATAATTTCAAAGTTAAAAAAATGTAAAAAAAATAATTTACCTTCTACTTTAACGCCCAAGTCACCAATTCTATTACCCACATCAACAATAAATGAAGCATTTTTATTTTCTTCTCCTGAATAAAGTCCGTCACCGCTAGCCGTGGGCAATCCTCCATCATCAATATTCTGTATATAGGGACATCCTGTGAAATAGTTAAACAAACTTTATTACTACTTCATCCTCACCTGAATGAACACTGAATCATACTTAATAGAAAAGTCAATTTTGAATCAAACTAACATAATGTTGAAAAGGAAATAAAAAAAAAAACACTTAAAAAAATCTAACTTGATATCATTATGATGAAGTAGACTTGTCACAATTACAACCAGTTTTAATATTATCTCAAAAACTTCTAATAAGATTTTGACAATTTTAACAATATCAGAGACAACATCTGTCCATGTCCCGAGGACAACCCATTTTGTGAATTGACCACCATGCACAAAGGTTATTTCAAAAGCTTTTACTGAGGAATTTTAATTACTCTATTTACCAAGGCATTTTTGATGTCCAACTAAAAAATGCAAAAGGTGACATTAACATACCCTGGAACGGCATTATATGAAACATGCAAATTTAATGAAACCTGCTCAGATCCTACCATATACGGCAGGTGTTAATATATTTACTTCTTTTAAAAGTAGACAGCTGCTGTTAAATTATGTACCAGTGATCATTATAATTTCAATATGGCAACATGGTTGGACTGTTTTTTTTTTTTATTTTGTTATATTTTTCGTATCCTGGAATACTTTTTAAACAGCTATTTAGAGATCAACTGATACCAAGTGAATTATGTAGCCCAATAAATATATTTTTTTTTAGCATTTGCAAGAAAATGTGTTAGTTTTAGAAGGATATGTCATTTGTAAAGCCTTTTCCACATTTTTTCAATATGTAACATACAAAAGCACTTACTCAAAGCCCTGATGTCAGTTCAATTTTTTGTCCTATGCATACATATTTGTAAAACTTTGTTTGATTTCTTTTTGTTTTTAAACGTTTGTATGATCTTGTTTTTTTTGTCCCCATCACAGATTCTTACCACTAATACTGATAACAGTATAATACATTTCTTCATCATTTATAACCTTGACATTTGCAGTGTACATAACACCATTTCTTAGTCCATACTGAAACACACTATCATTTGATTTCTTTGAAATGTTATTTTGAACAATAGGTTTATTACTCTGACTAGAATATTTGTTATCTTTTTTAATCCACTGTTGTTTTAACTTTGGAAATGAATATTCCAGGGTGGAAGCTGTATAGCTATCAAAACTATTTTCCCTGGACAGATTTGATCTTTTAATAGACTTATCATGCAGTCTGGAGGTAACATCGGAATTTGTTGAAAGTTTTGGTTTCTCATGAGAACTTTCTGATAGCTTTGCTTTCTCATGAGAACTTTCTGACAGTGTCAACATTTCTTTTACACTTGGTCTATCTTTTTCGATTTTCTTCTGCATTGTTCGATTTAAGAAATGATTTTCAAGGTTTGCCAATACATTGCTGTCGAACAATTTTCTGACAGACTGAGGTTTTTTTACTGGCTTATATGATGTCTTAATCTGATTGTTTTTTATTTCTTTGATATTAGCACCATCTCGACCCATCAACACAGTTTCAAGTTCCTTCACCAACTCATCCTGTAATTTTGACCCAGGATCCTTTTTTATAGAAGTTTTGAAAAATATTGGTTTTGGAATAGGTGCGATTGAAACACCTATTGAAGAAATCCTTTTCAATATTTCCTCTTTACTTTTGCCAGAAATTTCATTCTCGTCTTTTTCATCTGAATTATCCACTTTTTCAGTTAACGTTAACTTTTTATCCTCTTCCATATCAGAATAAGATTCCCCATCAGAATCAAAATTGATATATTTGTCTTTAATTGCACCCCGTAATTCATCCAGTAAGCCACTTTTTTCTGACACTGTTTTCACATTGTCCATAGCAGATGTGCCAGTAATTACTGACACATTATCATCAACTGTCACACTGTCAGTAGTTATTGACACATTATCCTTCAAAGTTAAATGAAATGGTAATGGTGGTGCAGGAATTATTGGTAGATTATCAGAACTGCCAGTAACTGTCATATTGTCAGAAACTGTCAATACACTGTCAATGACTGATTTTTCAGTGTCAGTTTTTGCAGATTCTAAATCCATCTTTGACAACTTTACTTACCCTGCAGTTTTATAATATCGTCGACTGTGCGATACCCTCATGGGTAGTCACGATAATTTAACACCCCTCCTGTAGTTATAATATCTGAATATCTAACATCTATATGACATATTAATGCACTGATAAACTGCCTAAGGAAAGTTTATAGATCCCATATCTTCCAAAACAATTTGCAACCATTTATGAACAAGAATTTTGCCTTGCTCCTAATCCACAGTAAAGAAGTTTATCACAACTATGTCTTTATATCCACATTATATGTAAATAAAGCACAACTGTTTTCATTTATCAGAAAAATCACATGGTACAATATATCCCAGACTTTAGATTTCTATAATTCTTTCCTTGACTTGTTTTTCTCAAATTACGCAAGACTACATAAAAAATATCACCACATTCGTCATATTGACATATATTCAGTAGGAAACTAATACCAGTATTTCTTCCTCAAATAATTGATCTGAAATACTATATCAGTTTTCAACCAGTAAACTGCTGCTATTTTTTAAAGGTCAGCTATCCATAATCAATCAATCATCAAATTATAAATATTTGATTTCAGATATGTATTGTGATAAATACTGTCTCTTCAAGTAAAAACTGATCAATTACTTAAAAGCTGTGTCAATTCACTCAGCGTCAAAAACTGATCATATTCCTTTAATCATTAATTCCACTGAATACAACAGTCCCTTTACATTATTAAATATTAAATTTAAATACTTCTTATTTTGTTATTTAACGTGTCTTTTCTTCACAAATTCACAAAATTTAAAATTTCCGCTTTATAATTTTTCTGTGATTTAATCATGTACACTAACTAACCACAACTTTCATAAGGCTATTTTATTCATCACAATTGTAAACTCAGCATGTTTATTCAATCCTTCTATAGAAGCAAATTATTTGAGTTTAAAAACACCCACATTTGATCCGAAGATTTAACTTTACCTTTTAAGTTCAATCTCTGTAATTGACCACGTCATAATCCCTATTCAAGGTTTTGATAAATAACTTGACCATTTTATTTGAATTTTAAAGTCAGTTCCTAATCATGTTGACCTTGATTATATAATTATTGTAAAAATAAATTTTACATTTAACATTTCAGTCTATACTTTTCGAGAGAAGTTGTCTATCAAAGTTTCAAAGAAATCCATACATCAATCTGCAAAACTAGTCATTAGATACTAAAGAATTAGTGACATCATTACAATGTATTAAAATTCATATTTTTGGATTTTGAAGAAATTTTGGAACAAATAGATTATGCTTGAGGGAACGATTTAGGACTGACAAACACCTTCTTACTGGTAAATTATACTGATAACCTTTTGGGCAGAGGGATTTATCAATATCTATCCCTCATTTTTTCTTCTTGCTACTGGACTCCTGGCTACACGAGCTGAGGGACTTAAAAAATCTATTAAATATTGTTATACATTCTATAATCAAGTTATGGGTTTTTGACTTTTACAGTAGGTCTTAAATCTGTGTACCTTGTTTCAAAAATGAGTTTTGAAATTTTTCAATTTATCATCCTTACGCCATCCTAAATATACCACAAATATATCAAAAAAGCTTATCACGGAGAAAACTCAATTCTGTAAAGCCAGAAATTTTTCAGACTTGCTCCAATTATTTTTCAAAAGAATCAAAATCAATGAATATTTCAATTATAACATAAAAATGCCAATGATCATATGATATATTGATTTATAATGATGCTGCAGTAAAATGAGTGCAAATAGGTGAGATAACTCAAAATGTTTTTTCAAGAATTTTTAACTGGCAAAAAAACTATCTTTTTTCATTTTTCTATTTATAGTTTTACTTAAAACAGCAGATTCTGTTATCAAAAAATTAAGGGTCTCTAGTCTCTCTTTATCAAATATTAAGTCTCTACATGTTGACAAGGACCTTTCAGAACTCATAAGAAAAGTTTGATTTATTGATGTGGTGACCAATATGAAACTGTCACAAAGGTCAACTGGCACTCTGCCATGTTTACAGGTCAGTAATGTACAAACTGAGAGTTTGTTGTGTTAATTCTTTTCATTGTATATCACAGCATGATACCATTATCATAATAAATTGTAAGACATTTTAATTTGTGATAAACATTTTCAAAAGTATAATCAGGTCATATTAGGATAGATTTTATTAATTTGCTTGAACGATTTTTGTATTATTCCTCATCAAATTTAAATAGATTAACAGAATGTAAACAAATGAATTGTTGACTTGCTAAATTGGGGACAAGAATTCCTTTTAAAAGTTTTTATAGGTATCACCAAATGTAAACAAATGTGTTTGATCTGAATTTAACCTGAGGTTGAATTATGCATGGCATTACACAAACTGTTTAAAAGTTCTTTTATGAACTCTGAAAACTTCCTTATTTTACAAACATAAAACCACAAGATTCTATGATGTTTTTAGAAGTGTGTATCAATTAAATTCTTCCATACATTATTTTGGATTATCAAGCATTCCTTAAAATATTATGTAAATAACTGTGACACTTTAAACTAATACTGAAGTAAAAAAACAGTCTTGACATATAAACCAACAAAACAAAAAATTTGTCAAGTTATGGCTGATTTTCTCAGGCATTTTTGTTAGAAGAATGAAGTTATTGAACTTTTAGAGTATATTTGTTTTGTTTTGGCAGATTTCTTTCCTATAAAGATGTGGAAACCCCTAATACGGAAAATTTTCACATAGCACTGTAATGGATTAAAATACAAAACATAATTGTATGTGGTCCTTAACTTCTTATATTGAAACTATGGGCTATTAGTTGCACATAGCACACTCAACCTTTTGCTCATTTTCCATCAAGAACACAGCATTTAGTTAGAGCTAGACTAAAATGGTTGACAAAGTGAATAAAGTGTTTTCCAGTAAACAACAATCTGACTCAGTGTGTTGATCTAGTATATCCATGTACATTAGAGTTGTTATCCTCAATATAAAAGTAATGTTTGTTGCTGGACATTCAGCAGACAACAATCAAATGCAAGAGAATGCAGAGCAAAACAAGATTGAAACTTGTACCAATTGAAAGCAAAGAACATCACTTTTATTGCTGTTCTATATCTCATAATCACAGTGAGAGTAAAAGCTAATACATCACTGCAGGTTCTGTACCAATTGAAAAGGATGTAAAGAGAGCATAAGATTGGAGAAATTGTCTTTTTTTCCCCCATTTTTTTTGGTGTTTGGTGAATAGTTGTCTCATTTACAATAAATAGTACTTCTTTATTTTCATATCGTCACTATGGTTATAACAAGCATGTACAGACCCCTATTTGTGCACATGTTAATTTCAATGAATCACATGCAAAATTGCATTCATTCATTGGAAGTTGATTACGTTCATACCACTTATTGCACCACATTTCAGTCAAAAATTCACTAAAATTATGCTGTTTGCCATGAATTCCATCTGAGGCCTTTCCCTCAGACCCTTTCCATATACCTACATAAGTACACTGTTTGGTCTGATATTATGTACAAGTGGCCTATATAATGATTTTGCTTGTAAACTCTAAACAGGTGTATGTTTATACATGTAAAATATATTATACATGTATAGCCAGACTTTGGAAGCACAGTTTTTAGGAGAGGAACATTTATTTTATGTCTACCATATCATTTATTCAAGAGTCCACATCTATGCAAATATGTGTCACAATGAATGAACAAGCAAAATTCTGTCAGCCTATCGTGTATACTAAATCAAAACAGACATATTTCAGAAAAAGGAACTTGGACTGTGAAGCATGGCTATGGTGAGGTGACTACTTTTAGTCATATAACTATTAAAAGAAAGGAAATTTTTGAGATATTTGGAGATTTTTCTCCAACCAACCATATTTAACATCCCATTCAGAACACTATAATCTGCAGGAGATTTCACAGCTCTGCAATAATTGAAAGGTTTAAATCAATATCTGAAGTGATGTCTCCTACGTATTTCATTTTCAACAATATCAAATGTTTGTTTGAAAAAGAAATTTCTTGTCTCAAGCAATCTTGTTTTAGTGGTATGCTCTTTCTACTACTATCAAAATACCTTTATTGGTTGATTCCAATTTTTGAAACCTTGGGTTTTTTATTCTATCTGTCATTATGTGCTGAACAAACCAATGCAGGATATGCATTTTGCTGGGTATTAAAATAAATAATTTCAAACAGGCACGAAACTCATGAGGACTGGTATCCAATGAATAAAAGAGCCTTAACAATCTTAAAAGCAATACAATTTGCCTTTCATTTTACATTATTTTTTCCAGTTATACATAATTCCTCTAAAATTATTATCTTATTAAAAATATTGAATTTAAAGTACAGGTACTGCATTGAACCCAATATAAGCCCCAAGGTTTTGAATTTTTCTCAAGGGTGAGATGGAGGGGCAAAAAATTGGTGTTGTGAAAATTTGATTTACTAAGTCTGAAATATATAACTGAGGTAAGTTTTAGCTAAACTGAAAGTTACTTTTATGTGCAAATCAGCCAGAAAATTTGCTTTTATTTTACAAAAAATTAATCTGCATTAAATTCCAGGGTAGATAACCCTTAGTCAGAAATCAAGAAAATAAAAAAAGCATATTACTTCAATTGTCAACCAACATCTTCTTACACAAATTGTTGATTTGTTTCGATTCAATGAAAATTATTCTTTATTTAATGTTTAATCTTGTTTTACAATATTTATGTTACATTTTTGTCTCTCTAAATTATATGAATTGCCATAAGGTAAAAGTAAAATATTTAAATGCCCCAAAAGGCATAAGCCAGGGCTGACCATGTGTGACCCTTGGGGGAAGTCAAGGTAGTTAAACATCCCCTAGTAGTAATAGAAAATTATAGAGTACAATTAATTTGCATCTCCTTAAAATGAAAGAGATATTTCGGACAGCTAGCTAAGATTAAATGGAATATATACTGTAATCAATGAGCATGATTCTCATTACAAAATCACATTGTCTCCTCTTGGACTCAAACCTGGGACCACTGTGTTCCAAGAGGGTACTCTTCATTACAGATATCATAAAAAATAGCTACTCACCAGGTAATTCATAACCAGCATAGCTAACATAAATTGAATAAGGTCCAGATTCATCAGGTATGTAAGCTATATTCTTGATCCAATCTCTGTCCTCTGTTGTAATGCTGTGGTCCACTGTACGACCTGATGGACTTTTTATAATGATATCATAATCATGTCTGCTAGCTTGAGAAAGGTCCACTGAAAGTAAAACAGTTGGAAAAGTAGAAATCATCTAGTTATAACAAGCAAATATACATATTCTGATTGAAGCCCGTGGATAAACCATCAACAGGAACAGAAAAAGATGGAGCTGAGTAATTATAATGGAACTATAGAAGCAAACTAAGCTGCAGAAGAAAAGTCTAAACTATCTAGGATAAAAGGAATAGGTAAGATAGGGTCACTTTTTTGGCCCATAAAATTTTAAAATCAAAGGTTTTTTAAAATATATCTATCAAATTACATCCTTCCAATGTTCATAAGAATTATAGACAGTCTGTCAAATTTTGAGTATTTATTAGTTTGAATTTTACATTTTTTTCGCTGTACGACATTGATCTTTTGATGTATAACTGCAAAAAAAAAACATTCTAAAATAGCCTAAATTTTAGAGCTATTAGTTAATAATTAGTTATGAACCAAGGCTAAACCTTATATCCGCAACTCTTCCTAGACAACAGAATTTCAATGACACTTTCATAGAATTATTCTTACAATTTATGTTTTTTCTATCAACATGGACCTGACTTTTATCAAATAGAGAAAAATAGGGTACGGATTTGTGAGATCTTCTCAGTATTTCTAGTAAAATTTGTTTTTTACATATCATCATCTCAAATTATCAAAGAATGTGTTTAACACTGCTATTTTGTCATTCAAAAGCGAGTTAAAAAAATTGTACTTCAAAAAGTCAATCATAATATCATTTACAGAGAAACTGCACAATGGTGAATTGCAAATCAAAAGTGCTTGCACTGGTAACAACCTGCCCCTGATATACACTTGTGAACATACAACGGGAGAAGTTAACCTTATAATATAATATGGAGTGAATACCAAACTCACCATCAAAACTTGCTGGTTCTCCAACACCTCGCTGATTAAATCTGGAGACACGAATGCTGGCTACATCAAAGACATCTACATAGTATGGACTGCCTTCTATTGGTTGTCCTCCAAAATAAATTTCCACTCTATGTTGACCTGTTTAAAAAGATGTATGCTTGAATTGGCATTAAAAATAATATTTGTTTAATCATTAAATCCCATTTCAAGTTTGAAACAAAAGGTTTCAGTAAATTAATCAGATAACGGGTGGTAAAATATTCAGTGAAAAAGCAGAGAAGTTCCTAAATTGTGAAGGAAAAAATTTGAGAGTAAAAATTAAGGCATATTGCAAAGATTAAGCTGAACTAATAATTTTCAATAGTGTATGTACCTGCCATAACTGGAGTCCATTCTACTTTCATTGTACCATCAATCTGTGTAGATAGACGAGAAGGCATTTTGTCCCCATTTTCAGCTACAAACAAAAGAATTCAGTGATGATTTAAAACATCAAGAAACAATAACTTGAATACTCTATCATTTTTTTAAAAGACAGTCTTTGCTGGTATCATCTATTATAAATTACCCTGCATTAAAAGTAAAAAAAAAGAAACATTAATCTGTAATTTGGAAGAAAAGGTTTGTTTCCAGTGCTGAATAACTTCATCTAGCCAACACAAATGAGACTGACCAACCAGAAATGTTTCCACCTTAAATTCTAAAAACAGCTGCTGAAAAAATATTACAAAACTCACTATTGAAAAGCTGCTGATATATCAGTAACTCCTGCCTTACAGGGCCAATATAAACCAAAATCATTGAACAGTGGTAGATGAGACCACTGATTGGTTCATGGACATATACAACTGCATTCTCAATTCAATTGGCGTGAATAGTCCTATGTCAAGGGACAAAACTCTTAAAAATCACTGGTATATTTGTGTCATCACCTATTATCATAAATATATTATAAGCTTAGTATTTAAATTCTGTGTCACATGAATGCTTGAAAAAGCATTAATGAAACTGACTATTACAAGCATAATACTGATTAAAAGAGTTGTCTCCCTAAACCAAGGTTTATCTCCCTTAATTCTATGTCATTGAAAATGACTCTGTAGACATTGATCTTTGTTAAGCACTGACAAGATAGTATCCCTGCTTTTTTATAAATGATATATAATATAAAGTCCTAATAAAATTTTTCTCATCCTCTTTCCTCAAAAATATTGGGAGGAAGGATATTCACTTGCTTTAGTTAGGTTTCACTTTAACTTCTTGGAATTTGAAATAAGTCTTTAAAAATATTATTTAAAATATGAAACTGAAGAAGAATAAACAGCTGCGCCATGAGGGCATGATACGCCCGTCGTCTTGTGTGTGAATTTTTATGCAATAAGCATAAATAGTTTCTGACATACGGCGTGACATGCGAAAACCCCCTTTTTTTTTTTACGAAAAACTCAATATCTCTAAAATAAAATTTTGAATCAAAACCAAAAAGTATACAGATCTTGAGATTAATATAACTAAGAAGTGTGTAAAATTTTAAGCAATAATCATAAATCGTTTTTGAGATACGGCACGACATGTGAAAACCCCCCCTTTAAAAAAAAAAAATCAATATCTCAAAAATAAAATTTTGAATCAAAACCAAAAAGTATACAGATCTTTAGATTAATATAACTAAGAAGTGTGTAAAATTTTAAGCAATAATCATAAATCGTTTTTGAGATACGGCGCGACATGTGAAAAACCCCTACCCCTTTTTTTACAAAATACTCAATAACTCAAAAATAAAATTTTGAATCATCACCAAAAAGTATACAGATCTTAAGATTAATATAACTAAGAAGTGTGTAAAGTTTTAAGCAATAATTATAAACTGTTTTTGAGATACGGCGCGACATGTGAAAAAAAACGCACACCTGTTTTAGTTACTAAGTCCCGTAACTCAAAAAGTTTTAATCTTATTTTCACCAAAAAGTATAAAGATCGTTTGACCATCATAAGAAACAACTATGTTAAGTTTCATGAAATTTGGATAAGTCGTTCTCAAGTTACGGTGCGACATGTTTACGCCGGACAGACAGACGGACAGACGCCGGACATTTGTATACCATAATACGTCCCGTCAAAAATTTGAAGGGCGTATAAAAAAACACACACCTGTTTTAGTTACTAAGTCCCGTAACTCAAAAAGTATACAGATCGTTTGACCATCATAAGAAACAACTATATTAAGTTTCGTGAAATTTGGATAAGTCATTCTCAAGTTACGGTGCGACATGTTTACGCCGGACAGACAGACGGACAGACAGACAGACGGACGGACGCTGGACATTTGTATACCATAATACATCCCGTCAAAAATTTGACGGGCGTATAAAAAAAGAATCTAAAAGTTAAGTTCATGTGGCTTCTGTTCAATGTCATCTATTTTTGGAGGATCTAATTATCAGCCTGCTGTGCAAATGATTCTGTAAGAAACTATCATTAGTTAAAAAAAAATTCATTCATATATATCTGACATATGGTTAAAATAGTATAGTTCCACTGAAAAAATACAAGAACAAAATCAACTCATCTATTAACAAAAAACACTCATAGAACACATTTCAATATACAGTGTAACACAAAATATCAGATATTTTAATAAATGATAACAAGGAATCCTTTTAAACCTATAATGGCAACTTGAAGATGTTCAGGATCCATATAAGGCAACACAGACTGTAATAAGAACCACTGTGATTGGTGAATCATCATCAGGTGCTTCTCCATGGTAACATACACAGGATTATGGGACGAGCTCTGAACTAGAGAGGAAGTCTGCTTAACCACTAGGGATGAGTTCCTGTCAATTAGGGATGAGTTCCTGTCAATGACTTCAATAGTAAATGGTGATCCTGTAAAACAAATATTTTATATAAGAACTACTATATATATGAACAGAGGTCGTATTCATGTGTTTGTGATCAGATTCAGTAAACAGAAATTTATTAATGACATTCCAGGTATCTAGCTACGAGATATATAAAAAATATAAAATATGATTTTTTTTGTTCAATCATTAATGAAAGTGAAATAGTGAAATAATATATCGCTTTTAGCAGCCAGTATGGTTCAATTTTGTCAAAATAAGCTAAGAAACATTGATGATGAATTATTAATTCAACCTCATTGAATCCATATTCATGTGAACTTCAATGTAAACCCTTAGCTGGAGATGAATACCTCTGCATTGTGCATGTTCAATTATTTACAGGAAAAAAATGTCAACTTTGAAAGTGAAACAAAGGTAAACCATTTAATTGACTGATTCGATCCACAAAAAATCATTCTTATACAGGTAAATACAATGATAAACATATATTTTTAATCTATAATATGAAATTAAACAGACATAGAAAAATCCGAATGCACGAGTCTGATATCTATTTATATATATATATTTATGTTTATATCGCTTATATAGCAATCGGAGGTTTTCGGAGGTCAACTCGACAGTTAATTAGATGGCGTCTAGACTAAAATACACCCGAAACAAAGCTACATATTATCGATTCCATGCCTGGTATATTGTTTATTTTACACTTTTTATAATTTGGATAAATGTTTTACATTGTTATAAATCAAATATGAGAATTTAGGCAAATCGGTGAACATGAATTTGACAGCTAGTGCCCCTTTAAAACATAATTTTTCAAAAAAATGGTCAATGGAGCCACCCAAAAATATAAGATGTAAAACCATCAAAACTTAAAAACACAAAACAATAAATATAAAAAGAAAGAAAATAGTGGCCAAAGATTTCACCCTAAAAGATCTTTGTCAAAGGTTGTTGAAAGGAGAATCAAAGAATATAAATTATTTGAGAACAGATTGAACACTGTTTTAATATTATTTTATTCAATTTGACACTGTGATTATATAATGTCAATGTTATGCAATCCTTAGTCTGTTCATCTCTGTCAAAATGTGGTTTGCTTACTCCTAATTCTCAGGAATTGCCTATTTGTCTCTTAATATTTTACGTTACATGTCAATTTGACCTACCTGGAACTTCATCTCCATTAAATTTAGCATAAATCATGTGATCTTTTCCAATTTGTGGTGTGAATTCTGCTGCTAGCATGCCAATCTGTGTCTGGTGAATTGAAACCGGAATTGTCTCCCCTTCACATTCCACTATGACCTCTAATGCTCCTTCCCCTGATTCACTCACATCAACTAAAAGAAAAGAGGAAGAAATTCAACTTCTATGAGGACAATATCATAACATTTTTTTTTTATTAGAAACTGTAAAAAATCAAACTGATATTCTTTCTATAGTATATCTTAGTGTAGAAATGTTTTTAATAACACAAATATGTGCAGTCCACAATGGCTAATACAACTAGAGGCTCTAAAGAGCCTGTGTCGATCACATTGGTCTATGTGCATATTAAACAAAAGACACTCTCCAACATTGTAGACGAGAATAGAATTCATGACAAATATCACTGTTTTGTTAATCTTTTATTGCTGATCATTTTGTCTGTTTAGTTTCTCTCTATCTTCTTTAGTTTTTGCTCAAAACACAAAAAAGGTAAAAAAATCCTTATTTAAGGGCAATCACTCCTATAAAGAGTGACAGTCTACTAACTATATCGGCAAAATTTGACTTGTTAGTAGATCTTGCCTTGCTGAACATTTTTGTGATTTAAAGTGTCTATTTATCTGTTATAATTTTTATCATATAAGGCAAAACACCAAAAAAATGGTAAAAATCGTCATTAAAGGGCAATAACTCCAATAAGGAGTCGCACGATTTCTTCCATATTGTCTTAACAGTAGAGCTTGTCTTGCTGATCATTTTTGTTTATTTAAGTTTCTATCTATCTAATATAATTCTTAAGATATAAGTCAAAAATGCTAAAAATTGGTAAAAATCATCATCAAAGGGCAATAATTTTAATAAGGAGTCAACTGACAATTTCGACCATTTTGTCATTTAAAGGCAATAACTCCTATAAGAAGTTGTCTGACAGTTTTGACGTATATGGACAATTGGTAGAGCTCAAGTCGCTGAACATTTTTGCCTCATCAGATTTTTTCTATTTATAATGGTTTTCAAATTAATAGACAAAACTTGCAATTTACCCCTTTGTTCTATTTTTAGCCATGTCTTCCATCTTGGTTGGCATCGGACACATTTTTAAACTAGATACCCCATAATGATTGTGGCCAAGTTTGGTTGAATTTGGCCGGGAAGTTTCAGGAGAAGATTTTTTTATTCTATATTTCATATTTCAGTATCACATGTATAGTAGCTTGAAAACCTTTAATAACTTCTGAATGAATAGTAAATATCATGATAGTTGTGTATTAATTTTGTAATCTGCCATTGTAACTTATAGAAACCAGTTTTACTTTCAAATCTACACCGACCTCATTCAGGATAGTTTAGTTGTGTATACATATGTATTTAAG